TAGTCACTATTGTGCTTTGTAAATTTCTTAAATGCTACTGAAGGATGTAAATGATTATTCAATGACTATGACATTACTTAACTCTAAGTCATCTCAAGCTCCAATTATATATAGTTGTACTGTACATGGACAGTATTTTTCTCTCAGGTACTGTGGAACTTAAACTTTAGTGTGGACCAGATTAGAATTAAACATCCAAGCACATGAAGAAGAAGAACTGAGATTAAAATTACCAGGAAATGTCACCCTATACCTTATATAATAGCTGAAATTAAAAAATAACAATAGCAAATGCTAGCAAGTATGGGAAGGAACTAGAATTACTCTCTACTCCTGATGAGAATGAAAAATGGTATGGCCACTCTGGAAAGTGCTTTGGCAATTTTTAATAAAGTTAAACATATGTTGGTTATATAACCCAACAATCTCACTTTGGGCATCTGCTCTAGATTCCCCCATGTTTACATAAATGTTCATAGAGACTATTGACAATTGCCCAAAACTGGGAACCAAGCAATGCCTTATAATGGGTATGAACGATCAACTGTAATATACTCATCCATACCATGGAAAACAACATAGCAATTAAAAACAGAGAGATTGAGAAATATTAATACACGCCCCCCCCCAAAAAAAAAAAAACAAACTAGGTGAATCTCAAAGGCATTGCACGGAATAAAAGAAACTAGTCTCAAAAGTTTATATATTGTCTGATTCAACTGATACAACATCCTTGAAGTGACAAAACTGTAGGGATGAAAAACAGATCTGTGATTTTTGAGGGTATTTTTGGGTGGGGAGAACACAAGACCAGTTTTGGAGGCTAAGGAAAGATTCTGTAACGTGACTATGGTGGCGGTTCACAAATGTGTATTTGTGTTAAAGTTCAGAGAACTGTGCACCAACAGGGTAAAAGTAGCCAAATTTATTCTATCATGATTTTTGAAAATAACATTTATAAAGCCACAGATCCCTGAGTCTTAATTCCTCAGGATTTCAGTTTATTTGCACTGTGAGCTATGTCAGACAACAAACGACTCATTCAGATTAAAATATAGTGAAGGCAAAAAACAGCCTAGACATTTTTTAGATCATTGTTATTTCCAGTACCTGCTGGAATTGGTTTGAATTTATAAAAGGAAAACAGAGGCAAGAAAGAAGGGGCCCCTGGTACCTCTTAGAGTCGAGAAGGATGCACTCAGTTAGTGGGAGGTGCTGTCTGCTTCTTGAGCGTATTATGCTCATGGTTAAATAAGCCCTGTGTTCTACTTACTGTGTCATCGGTGCAAAAGTCAGAACCACCCACAGCTACCTCACCTGGGCCTTCACACCAGAATAATCCACTGGAAGTCCACGGGGAGAAGGCTGCACCGAAAGAAACAGCACTCCAGCCATATGCTTATATAGAGTACCTCCTCCAGACAATGGTTTTTAGTGTTCTCTGTTAGGTCTGAGTCTCCGCTCCTTAATGTTAGAGACAAAATGCAGTAGATAAAACATTTCTTATCTTCCTACCCTTGCCTCTGAAAGAACTCTGGTCTATCTTGGCAGATACACCACAAGAAAGAAGCTTTTCCCCAAAGATACTCCCTAAATGACCAGTGATTGATTAGGTGAAATCCATATAAAGTAGATTATAATGTTATCTTGTACTAAATACATGATCGAAGAAGTAAGACATCACAAAGGAATTTAGTGTTAAATTGAGAAAGCATAAAAAAGCAGCTTTGTGCTTTAAAATATAACGAGAGATCCAAACTTGCTAACAATAAAAGTTGAGCTTTTATCCTGTTTCCCCTCATAAAAAGTGCCACTGGGGCCTACCATATTTTAATGTTGGCACACTTTTTTTTTACCTTGAACTTTGTGCAACATTTGAACTTGTTTTTGACCTTGAACCTTGTGCAACATTTTAGCAGTGATGAAATGGTCCATATAAGAGCAACCAAATTAATGATGGGTGAAAAAAAAACTAAGAAGATTGGCAGTGAAAATAGTGCTTGTCTGAAAAGAAAACTGCTGGAGCCATATACCTCTAGCATATTTAATCAAGTGTATAGAGTGCCGAATGATTTCTAACAGACCAAACACACTGCACAAAAACAGGATAAGGATGTTATCCCTCACACACTTGAAACTTGAAGACGGTAGTCTTTTTTATGAATAAATGTTTTTGTTTTTTGGACTCTAAAAGGTTCAAAAATGTGTAAGTTGCTATTTACCTGTCTGGCCACTAGATGGTGTGGTTTATTAATGTGTCTACCTTCAGTATATAATTGAAGACAGTTTCGTGGTGTGCTATTTTCTTGGATCAATTTTTAATTATAATTAACATTAAATTTGAAGTGACCCTAGATATAATTAATATGGGTAAGTCTGGACTAGAACCTCAGTCTCCCAAAACTCCAAGTAACCCATAGTCTTAGATTCAATTCTGACTCCTAGTGACCCTACAGGGCAGAGTAGATGCCCTATAGAGTATCCAGGGCTGCAATTCAATATGGAGGCAGCAGATGGCTATACTTTTCTTCTCTGGACTTCCTGTGGGTTTGAACCACTAAGTGTTTGGTTATCAGTCAAGACCTTGAACCACTGAGCCATCAGACGTCCTCCTTGAACCCCCACTCGCTGCCAGTATGGTTTCCTTTACGTAAGACTCATGGGAAATGTTCTAAAAGACACTATTAAATAGGGAGAATGCAGTGTTGAGAACATTAGCAAGTAAACATGTGCCATAATGCCCAAACAGAAGTTTTGACTATATAAACACTACTTTTATATTAAAGTAGGATCCCTGGTGGCAAAGGGCTGGACTGCTAACCACCAGCTCCTCCACAGGAGAAAGATGAGGCTTTCTACTCCTGTAAAGAGTTAAAGTCTCTGAAACCCACAGCAGCAGTCTTACCCTGCCCTATAGGGTTGCCAGGAGTCAGAATTGACTCCATAACAGTGTGTGTGTGTGTGTGTGTGTTTATATTTTTTATAGAAATCCCCCCATTTGGTGATGTCATCAATGATTTATAGCTCCTTGGCTGCATATAGGACCAAAGAAGACTCTAATGTGAAGTTGTATGCTTAGGCCAGATGTAAAGTCAAAGATCTAAGACAAGTCATCCTATCAAAATTCACCAGAAACACTTATCAGTGAAAAACCCATTGGGTTTATGAACTCCTTGCAATGAGGACCAGTACATACCATGGGGAGTTTTGGAGAATCTCAGAAGAGGATATTAGAAAGTACTTATATGAGATCAAGGCTTATATTACATGATTCTTTTTTTTTGCAGGGTTCAAAGAAACAAGACGTTGCTTTAGTTTGGAGGTTGTCATGAAGTGAGAATGACTAAGATTTTGATCTTAAGTCTTATCTCACGGGGGAGAGTAATAGTATCAGGCAAAAACTGTAATTGGTGAAGAAAAAGCAGATACTCCTTAGCCAGCATAGGGGATGTGTGGTCATTTTTGTAGTTTGGACAATGTTCGTGTCTTATTTTGGTTCGCACACAATGACAAAGTGGACCTGTTTTTGTCTTTCCCCCTCTGATCACAGAGCCTGGTCTAATGACAGTGTGGTTGTTCACACCCAACAGGAGTTTACGGAGATGGAGCTGCGAGTGCTAGCCTTAGCTCCTAGCGACACCAAGGCCCATGTGGTAGTTAGTTGCAGACCAGCTCCTGGCTGTCAGGCGCTGCTCTCCTTTTTATCACAGGGAAGGTAAAACGTTCAGGCTGTACCATTGTGATGCCAGGCGTGTGGTCCTAAAGGACTGCAATCCTTGATTCGGCATACAGTGGGATGTTCTTTTGGAAAGTTTGTTGAATAATGGTTTGAATGACTGGATAAAAATGATTGTCATGACGGTTATTGGTTTTAAAAATCCATGTATAGGAAAGCACTGCATGATAAACCAAATAATGTATGTTTGTGTGAAGCATTGATAAAGTAAATTATAGCTTATGATATTGTACGAAATACATCTAACTAGAAAGGCATCACAAAGTACAGGAATGTAGTCTTAAATTGAGAAAGCTTAAAGAATCTTATGGATATGGATTAACAGAGGAGAAAAAAAGAGATTCTAAATACGAAGATATACTAGAAGGATCTAAATAGAAGTTAGGGCAAAGAAGATAGCCACAAAGACATTGAGTTGACTTGGTTGAAAAGGGACAAGAGATATTTCAGAATAGTTAAAGGATAATAATTGCATGTTAATTGCCAATCTTAACGTACCCAGGTTTCAATTGCTCCTCAAAACACATTCAGTTTTTCTCGTCTACATCCTACAACTGACTTCCTGCATGTTACTGCTTCTGTTTTTCAAGATTCATCTTATAACATTGTAATCACCGCCTTGCCAGTGCTTTCCTCTCTCTTGCCCCTTTTCCCTGTCCTGACAGAAACCATCGGGTTAAATACAACCTTCTGGTCATAAGCTACCTGATCATCTGGAAAATACTACCATGGTGACTAATCTTACTTTAATTTATAATCACAACCTGCAAGTTGGCCTAAGGAAGAGCGAGAATGGGGGCAGCGGGGGTGGGGGGTGGGCATGTTGAGAGGCGGCCTCTAATAAAGGACAGTTGAGCAGAAACAAGCAGACAGTAAGGGTATAAACCGTGTTCCTGTAAAGGAGGTAGTCAGGAACAGAAGCTATAAAGACCCTGAGATGGAGTCAGCAATAAAGTGACTTAGAGAAAAAACAGACCCTTTCTGCTTGGTGTGCATAAGTGAGGTTAGGGGGCGACATTGAGTTTTACATGGCTTTGCATTATAAGGAATCTGATCTTTATTCTGAATGAGTTCGGAGCCACTGAGATATATGTAATTTCAAAAATTATTTGTATAAAGCATAATATATGTAGGTTTAGTAATATCTGAAGGTGTTTATAAATTTTATTCTTTCTTGAATAACTCACTCAACAGCATTGCTAATAGTTTAGGTTAATTCAACGTGATAATTACTTTCTCTCTGTTTTGTTACTATCTCTACTAGGTACAAAAGTCAAGAAATAAGCAAGTACGAGAATTATTCCCAGATGGTTTTAGTATTCACCATGCAGGAATGCTTCGGCAGGACAGAAATTTAGTTGAAAATTTGTTTTCTAATGGGCATATCAAAGTCCTAGTCTGTACAGCTACCTTAGCCTGGGGTGTCAATCTTCCTGCTCATGCTGTTATTATTAAGGTAAGAGCTTACCATCCTTTGCACATGGATTTGCTTGTATCTTAAACCTGTGGATTGATTCACCTAGAAAAATATTCTGATGTTCCTGTTTCGTTGATTATGAATGTTACTACTTATATAAGCCCAGAATTATTTTCTCCAATAAGAATCTAGTTTATATTGAGACCGTTTAACTATATCATAGATGAGGAAAGGATTAGTTAGAATACACTTTTGAGTTCTTGTCTTATTTGCCTAATTTCAGTATTTGGCTCATCAAGATGATATCTGTCTGTGTTTATGTTAATTTGTATTAATTTTTCCTCGTGTAGGGAACACAGATATATGCCGCAAAAAGAGGATCCTTTGTTGACCTTGGGATTTTAGATGTCATGCAGATATTTGGCCGAGCTGGAAGACCACAATTTGACAAATTTGGGGAAGGAATTATAATCACAACACATGATAAGCTAAGCCATTACCTCACTTTACTCACTCAACAAAACCCAATTGAAAGCCAGTTTCTAGAAAGCCTCGCAGATAACCTAAATGCAGAGGTAAGATCTAGCAGGTAAAGGTTGGAATAGAATTATCAACTATGTAAAAGTGACCCAAATAAAACAAGGGTGAGTATTTTGCTACTTTGTTGTATTTAGGAATACGTCTTATACCATACGTAGTTGTGAAATAAAATAGACTGAATAGTAATGTTTAATTTTGCGAAGTATAGAATGTGATTGTAACTGACAAGAGCATTACCAAGAGACTATACTTTTAAACTGTGAGGTTTTATTGGAGGTCAGAATTCTAACTAGAAATAAAGCAAAGAAAGGCAACAAAAGGACCAGTAACAACAATTAGCATTTGACTTATATTACAAAGTTTTTAATATGTCTTATAAAGTGCTTTTATCTTCATTAGGTCATTTAATTAACTTTGTTATATAAAATGATTGTTTAAATTGAGGTAGAGTATGACAATTTATTTCACCTATGTGTGTTTGATTTTGTGCATTTTATATCAAAATATAAATACCAAACTCTGGAAACTAACTGTTAAAGTCTTAATTGGTAATGAGGATAAATAGCTTACAATTTAGAGTTTCCTCATTTTCATGCCTTACAAATGCTCTGTGGGTGAAGGGTTACAGAGCAAGTTGGTTTTCCATTCAAGAATTCATACACATTTGGGGCATTGATTGGAAGCCCCCCCAGAAAGTCAGTTCTCTGCCCTTGCCTCCCTGTGTTTACTATTTCTCTTTCCCTGCCTGCAGCCTGAGCTTTGTCCCTGGACAAAATTTGCCTTTTTAGTGGTTGATTGTTCTAATGAACACACACCTCGTTGGTCCTATTGTTCACCTTATAAGTCAGCCACAGCAGTGAGGTCAGTTCCAGCCTTGCTTGATATCTCTAGGCCTTCCCCTCATGGGGACTTCCACAAGTCTCTATCAGACCAGTAAACATGGTTGTTACTTTGGTTTGGGGTTGTTTTTTTTTTCTTAATAAATCATTTTACTGGGGGCTCTTAAAACAATCCATACATTATTGTATCATGCACATTTGTACATATGTTGCCATCATCATTTTCAAAACACTTTCTTTCTACTTGAGCCCTTGGTATCAGCTTCTCTTTTTCCCCACCCTCCCACCCTCATGAACTCTTAATAAATGATAAATTATTATTTACATATGTAACACCATCCACTGTCTCCCTTCATCCACGTTTCTGTTGTTCATCCCCCTTAGGGGTGGTGATTTGTTTCCATATTTCTCTCCCACTTGATCCACGTCTTCCAACTGTATCTGCAGGTACCTTTTCAGGGCAATCATCACTGGTAGCTAAGAAATATCTAGTTCTTTTGATCTTAGAACCCTAGAGCCTGGAGTATGTATGATCCATCAGTCCTCCAGGCTGTCAGCGACACTTGGAATCATTGCTTGGGTATGCAACATGATTCTGCTTTGTACCCTTTTTCACCTTTGTCATTGACTCAGATTATTTTTATTGTGGTAAATAGATGTCTAAGAACACGTTTTACATGTCAACATTATTCATATGTACAGTGAAGTGACATTGTGTTAAATATGAAATAAATGAAATCTAGTTAAATGTTATTTATCACAAGCAAGTCTTAAATCAGGTACTTCTAAACAGCTTGTAGAAGTTTCACTTACGTTCTAAAATGACATTTCAATTATAAATTTCTTTGGAGGGCAAAAAACATATGTCATCCCTTCTGTTAAGAAGCATGTAGTTCACACAGGGAGAAAAAGTCACCCAAATACGGTACGATGATGTTAGAAAGAAAATAATAAGTTCAACTGAAGACACCAAAATAACTGCCAAAATGTAGAGAAAAGAAAAAGTACTTTTTGCATCAAGTATCAGGAAATGGTATGCAGGAGCTTAAACATGATCTGGGTTCTGAAAGCTCTGTTTGGAAAGTCTGGTGGGAAGTTAGAAGCGGCACATGGGACACTGGATTCCTCTATTAACGTAAGTACACGAAACGTGGAAAGACTCAATGAATAATCCAAGTGGTATATGTGTACAATGGAATAGTATTGCGGTAATAAAAGGAATGAGCTGATGGTGGGGCAAGAGGACTCTTGAACTGTCCCATGTGCTGCAGCTCAGTGAGGGGCCTGAGCACTGCCCAGCAGCCTCCTTATGGTCATTGGCTTCCTCCTCTGATGCATTTGAATTATGGTGCTGGCAGAGAAGATTCAAAGTAACATGGACTGCCAAAAAACAAACAGTCTGCCTTGGGCGAAGCACAGCCAGAATACACTGTAGCAGCAAGGGTGATGAGACTCTGTCACATACTTTGGACATCTTCAGGAGACACCAACCAGTCCCTGAAGGTAGAGGGGCATTGAAAAAGAAATAGGCCTTTGAAAAGTTGGATCGGCACAATGCTGCACTGATGGGCTCCAGTGTAGCAACAAAGGGGAGAAAGGTGCGGGCCCAGGCACCTTTCTGTTGTGTACAGGGTCACTGAGTCAGAACCAACTGCACAGCACCTAACGAGAGAAAGGAATGACGTTTTCAGCCATTAAAAGCTTTTAATGCAAACATTGTGCTAAGTGCAATAACACAGGTACAGAAGTACAAATATTGTATGGTCCCACTTAGACAAAAAATCTAGAATAGGCCATTGATTCGAGATAGTAGAGGAAGGGGTACATGGGGAGTTACTGCTTAATGGGTATAGAACTTCTGTGTGAAGTGATAAAATGATTTTGGAAAAAATGTTCATGGTTGCACACTATTCTTTTTATCGTTTTATTAGGGGCTCATATGACTCATCACAATCCATACATACATCCATTGTGTAAAGCACATTTGTACATTCATTGCCCTCATCATTCTCAAAACATTTGCTCTCCACTTAAGCCCCCAGCAGCAGGTCCTCATTTTTCCCCTCCCTCACCCTTACCCGCTCCCTCATGAGCCCTTGATAATTTATAAATTGTTTATGTTGTCGTATCCTCCCCTGTCCAACATCTCCCTTCAACAACTTTTGTTTTCTGTCCCCCAGGGAGGAGGTCACACAGATCCTTGTAATCGGTTCCCTCTTTCCAACCCACTCTCCCTCAACCCTCCCAGTATCGCCACTCACACCACTGGTCCTGAAGGGATCATCCGCCCTGGATTCCCTGTGTTTCCAGTTCCTATCTGTACCAGTGTACATCCTCTGGTCTAGCCAGACTTGCAAGGTAGAATTCGTATCATGATAGTGGGTGGGGAGGAAGCATTTAGGAACTAGAGGAAAATTGTATGTTTCATCGTGGTTGCACGCTATTCTGAATATAACTAATGATACTAAATTGTACACGTAACATCAACTGTTTTATATATACATATATAATCACAATTTTTAAAAATACTAGGTCTTGGATCAATAACGTCTATGATAGAATAAAATGTGAAGTAACAACAATTTCATTGGACTGAAGACCTGAAATATCTTGAGCTGGAGACTTCTTGTGTATTTTTTCATCCTCTCAGTATTCCTCCTAAGTAGAAATTGTTAGACTGAGAGAGAGAGAGAAAACTTTTCCAAGGTTACTCTGCTAGTTTCACACTTCAGGTTTCTTCCTGCTCATGCCGTTATTTACCATATATGCTCGTGTATAAACCGAGTTTTTCAGCACATTTTTAAAGCAGTTTTTGTGGTAAAATTAGGTGCCTCGGCTGATATTTGGGCCGGCTTATACTCGAGTATATATGGTAAGTTTTTATTGTCTATGCTTATTGAACATCTTTATGCAATATAGTCTTTAAACTCAGATCTGGTGTACTCCAAACCTAGTCTTTTAATTATAGCCTAGATTTCTGTTACCCAATCTAGAAGATGCTAGCTTAAAGATGAGTATACATTCTGCTACATTAATAGTTAGCATTTTTCTTCATCTAATACCAAGAAAAAACCCGTTTCCAAAGTTGGAGCAATAATTTCTCTGATAACAAGGATTTTGGTTACAGTTTTTCTAGAGAAGTATATCAAGGAAGATTATATCTTAGGAACCATAGAACTAATGTCTTGGACCACTTTTTTTGTCAGGAGTAAAGTAAACATGAAGTAGTGGTATTATTTTGCATAAGACACAAAGTGAGTAAAATACTGGTTCAGAAGATTATTTTTCTTGGGGACTATAAAATGCCCTCAGTGAAACGTTTTGATCAAGATGTGAGAAATTAAAAATAAATTGTGATCCATGGGTTCATCTCATATTCATCAGGAGCTTATTAGGCATGTCATTTCAGAAATGTCAAATAGCTATGTGCATAATTCTATTTAGTATCATAATCATATTCAAATAATGAGAGCTATACCTTGAAATTTGTAGCTAATAGAAGGCTTCAAAAATTTTGTGGAGAAATTCCATGATTTTTTTACTCCATTTTTCTGTGAAACTTCTGAAGCCCCATTGTATTATGCGTTATAGACGTTGCTAACATTTCCTTATATTTTGGTCTATTGCAATATTTTCCTTTGAAAGTAAATTTTTTATTAAGGAAACAAACTCCCTTGCATTGTTGTTTAATGATATGAAATAAAGTTTGATAATTTGTGGAAATCATGGCAAAATTGGTTTATAAAATGAATGTATACTGTGTTCTCACATTAATATATTTTAAATCTTTGAACTCCCCAACATTGCATGGTAGATGGTAGTGATTGGTATAAAGGTCATGTTAAGATTAGAAGTATTGCCCTATTCATAATTTAGATGGCGTGTATGTCAATTCTGACCATTAGTTTAAAAGAACCATAGATATGATTATATTCAACAATAATTTGAATGCAACCATGTTGAGGCCTCTTTGCAGAATGACACTTAATAGGACAGGCTTCATAATGCTAATTTTACAAGGAAGGAAGTTTTTCTCTCTCTCTCTCTCTCTCTCTCTCAATTGCGGTGAAGGCAAGTCTGGTCCATGACAACCCCGTGTCAATGTACTCAGCAGATAGTAGCATTTACTCTGTGTCAACTCTCCAGCCATGCAGACTTTTAAGCTATATTCTTTCTACAACCTTATATGTCTTCTTTATGTGGAGTTCTTCCAAGATAATCCAAACTCCTCTGTAAGGCCTCTTCAGTCTGACAAGGAGAACTGGTGGTGTACTGCTTATGCACTGAGCTGTGATCCACATGGCAGCAGTTCAAAACCATGAGCAGCTCCATGGGAGAAAGACTGGGCTTTCTACTCCCATAAACAGTTGGGTCTCAGAAACCCCCAGGGGGCCACTGTAAACCAATATTGACGCAGTGGTAGTGAGTTTGGGTTTGGTTGGTTCAGTGTGCCCAACCATACCAGCTCTAGTTATTCCTTCTAGCGCAGGTCCTTTGTCTGCCCCAGAGAGGTTATTATTACTCTGCTGATTTAACTTTTAAAATCTGTTTTTCCATATACAAAATAGGGAGAATTTCACTGAATTACTGTGAAAATTAACATCTGTGCCAAATTAGTAGTTCATAAATGATAACTTCACTATTGTTACCTGATAGACTTTTATTTACATACTTACTGTCAGTAGTCGTCACTTTGTAGTTTAATTAATAAAGGAATGGCAATATATTTAATTTTTATGTCTTATATGAGGGGGGGGTTCATAAAGTTGGTGGGAGAATTCCACTGTCTTTTCACTCCATTTTTCCATGAGTTATTTGAAGCTCTCTGATAGTCAATAAAGTTATATATATCTGTAATTTCCATAAAAATATATACACAGATAGATATAGGTAAAATCTCCCTAAAGGTTTATATATGCATATGTGCATAAAATTATTATACATATGCATTATTCTATATACTTTTTTATATGGGTTCAATTAGTGTAAAACAAGCAATTAAGATAACCTTAAAGACTAAAGTTTAGATAGGTAAATTAGATATGAAGTGATACTTTGAATCTTGTATCTAAATGACCAGATTTGGTGACTTTTTCCCCCTTCTTTTGCTCAACAGAGTAGAGTTTTACTGAACTATATAATTGTACATTAATACCACATTTATAAGTTTTAGCAGTTAGATCTTTCTTTAAAGCATGCTAAAATTCTTATTGGATGTTAAACTCTTTGGATGGTATTGTCTTCCTAACACCATGTTTAAAGTGTCTACACTTCTTCCCCCTCCATTAGATAGAGAATTTCTTGAGACCGGGGACCATGCATTGTTACCATGTCTATTGTGCTCTGCGTGGTACAGTCTCGCTATTGATTTAGAAAATGATTATTGCAGTGAATGAATATATTTCAGAGAAATAACTGTGGAAAATCTTTGTTTCATAAAAAGTACCTGTTGTATGTGCCATGAAGTCATTTCTGACATTTAACAACAGAACAAAACACTTACCAATCCTGCACCTTCTTTAAACTTGTTATATATGATCCATAGTTGCAGTTACTCTACCAAGGTCTTCCCCCTTTTTATTGACCTTGTATTTTACCAAGCATGTGGATGCCCTTTTCCAGGGACTGGTCACTTCTGAAAATATGGCCAGAGTGTGGGAGACAAAGTCTCACCATCCTCGATTCTAAGGATTATTCTGGCTGTACTTCTTCCACCACAAATTTAATGGTTCTTCTGGCAGTGCAAGGCACATTTGATATTATTTGCCAACACCATAAAGTACACCATAATTTAAAGTAGAACACCACAGTTTGACCACGCCAGTCCTTTGGTCTTCCATTTTCATATTCCAGCTTCCGCTGGTAGCCACTAGATGACAGCAAATATTTACAAATAAATTTTATTTTTGTCACTAGGTGGCATTTGAGGGTTATCCTCTCAATATGATATAACTTTATGAATTTACACTTTTGGAGGGTGAAGGTAACCTCCTTCTATTGATGAACATTTAGAGGACTCGCATTATTTTATTCTGTCTTATTCCTTTCCTTAACTCTTATAATTAATAGCTGTTAATTTACTGAATCAATTTGGAAAAGATCAGCCTTTTGTTTCCCTTTGTTAAATTTTTCTCCTGTAAGAGAGATGTGGTATTTTAAAATACAGGTCATAAAGAGTTAACACAAATTTGGCTGTCAAATAATAGAATCACAAATGAGAGAGTTTCCATTTTGTAGCTTTATCATCAAAGTACTCTCCTTTACCCAAGCATTCTAGAAAATATTTAACTGATGCCCTAATTGTAAATGTTTAAATATTGTAGCACAATGCCCTCATTTGCTCAGTTTTGTTCATGCTACTTTCATTTTATGGGAAGCCTTAAAGGATTGTTATCTGTTGATGTATTTACCTATGCTGTGGGTGGGTGGTTTAGAGTCATTTTAAATAAGTAAGTGTTAATTTTAAAGGAAATAAAATCTGCTCTCTCATTTTCTTAACTTTTGGTCATTTCTCTATTATCAGGGGTGTTAAACTGGAGCCCCGCGGGCCGCATGTGGCTCCCGAGGCAATTTTTTGTCGCCCATGATGCTCTGAAATAAAATGAAAATAGAAAAACTTGTTATGAAGAAAATAGCGCTTAGGGGAGATGAGGCAACACCTTACACACAATTCCCTCGTTAACCCTTTCACTACTGAAGATGAGTATACTCGTGGCCCAGGGCCTTTTCCGGGGGGCCTGTGGACTTGTATAAACACGTTGACTCAGTTCCGGCAACATTTGGAAGTGATATGTCTGCCACTCTCAGTGACATGTAATGTAAACATAAATCCTCACTTCAAAATATAAATTTAACAAAATTTGTAAATGTGAAGTGGCCCACGTGAATCTTGCCTGTTGCGCCAAATGGCCCACATTTTAATTGAGTTTGACACCCTGCTCTACATAATGACAAATAATGTGTTATAGTGGTGGAATGAGATTTATACATTTCTATATCTTATATTCAACTAAGGACAGATAAGTGTCTACATATTTACTTCACAGTCAATTGAGCAGAATATAAACATTAAAGAAAACATAAAAGTTTTCATTTACTTTGATATCCTGTACTAAAATGAGAGGGTTATTTTTCTCCTAAAATATAATTAGATAGAAAAAAGATTATGTCTCCTCCTGTTATTAAATTAAGAAGTTAGAAAAAAATTTGCAGGCAGAGGTTTCTAAAAAAGTATGATATTTTAACACCTATATTCATTGCTAAAAGAAAAATGACTAGAGATTCATTAGCTACAGAAATACATCTGAAACCTTTCATTATAATTCTGTCTTAAAATCATTATATAATAATTCCTTTACTATTGCTATTCTGTTTTTAAATTATTTTATTCCATTAAATTAATAGTTAAAAAGCTATTTTTAAAATGGTACAAAAAAAATGGTACATTATTTTTTTATTTCCTTTAAGAATGTAATCCAAATAATTATCCAATATTTAATATAATTAAAAATGTATAAATACCTTCTTTTTCAAGAGTTATTTTACATTTACCTGTTCAAACTAAAGTAACATCTGCTCTTAGTGTATGACATTTTACAAGTATTATATATAATTAACATGCTTAAGTACCAATAAAATTGACTTCATTTTTCTACATAAATTAGTGAGTTTTTTGTTGCATTCATGTTGTATATTTATACCATCAGTCCTTCAAATAGGTATCCTGACAGGTAAAAGCTAATATCATCTGTGGTGGTATTAATAATACACCAAGCCACTATCAAGAGTGATAATACAGTTAATATTGTTTTGACTTGACACAATTCTATTAATATTTTCAGTAGCGTGATCACATAAAATGCAACCAAAACAAAATGAAACCCAAAAAAGAAGGGGAAAAAAAACTGCCCTATTCGCTGTGTAGAATTAACATTTGTGGGAAATAATCAAAGTAAGGTATATTCACTGTCATCATACTGAGTAAGTTCAGTTTGGGAAGGTAGCATTGTAGTGTTCTGTTCTCAACTAAATGAGGCAGGGTTAATTTTTAACTAATTGTAAAGTATCTAATTGTCATACCTATCTTCCTAATTAAAAATAGAAGGATTGATTTTTATCACTTTTGACAAAATAGACTTTTGATGTGATGTTTATGTTCAATTTTAATGCATTACTTTAATTTTTGCTATTTTTTTGTTTTGCAGATTGCTCTAGGAACAGTTACTAATGTGGAAGAAGCAGTGAAGTGGATAAGTTATACATATCTTTATGTGCGGATGAGAGCAAATCCACTAGTATATGGCATCAGTCACAAGGCTTATCAGGTAGAAAACTTAAAAAAAAAACCTCTAAACTTTCTGTTTAGTTCTATAATTCTTTCATGATATGAGAGGATAGTTATTTGTTCCTCTTGCTCCATCTGTGAAGAATTATATACCTGGAAATAAAAATAAAGAACCTTAATTTTTTTTAATGCCAAGGAAAATTACATTCGTTCTCTGTGATTAATTTGGTTTATTTAATAAAATAATTTATTATTTATAACATAATAAGTAAATGTTCATATTGTTATTAATTTAGTATTCAAGTATATTTGCATTCACTATTTTACTGTGACTTTTAAGACTATAATACATTTAGTTGTTGATTTTTCTTGTTTTTGATTTTTAAGAGAAATTCTCCAAAAAGCAAACTCTCTGTCCTTGAGTCGATGCCAACTCATAGCAACCCAATAGGACAGGGTAGAGCTCCCTCCATGAGTTTCCAAGGCTGGAACTACTTACTGGAGTAGAGAGCCCCGCCTTTTTCCTGAGAAATTATGCCTAGGATAACTAGAAGACCTTTGCTAGTGATAGTGTATTTTATATTCAGCCTGTCCTACTTAAGCAGTCCCTCAAAATCCGATTCCTAAATAAACGCTAGCTTTAATGAGCCTTTACCAGTCTGTGGGCAAGGATCAGTAGGTGCACACAGACTAAAAATCAGATGCTGGGGTAGCAGCGCTTCTCATGCGCTCTACAGTTGTGTGGTCCACGTGGCTCAGATTCTCAGATCTTCTGTTTAGACCTGTTTTATGCACTGATTACTTCCTAATTACAGATAAAATCCAATAGTTAGCTAATGGAAACATTATTTCACCATCATCATAGATAATCACTAGTGTCAAAATAAGTAAAGTTATAGTTCTCCATTTACTGCAAATTCATTATATATTCGTGTGGTATCAGAGCAGGTGCCTCTCTGTATGTAAGTGTGTGTGTGTCTCTTTTCCTGTAATTTGACTATGGGAATTGAAGCTGAAGACTTAGGAGAGGGTGGAGGGGGAGGGTCTGGAAAGTAGTAGCAACAGGTACTTTTAAAGCTGGTAATCTGAAACCACTGGATTTTTATTCTTAGATTTAGTCTAAATAGGATTCAACTCTCTGTCTTCTCATTGAAACATCTGACAAATCTTCAAATGGATCTTGTGTTATATTGGCCAAAGGCTTTTTTTTTTCCATTATGAAATATAGGTTCATGAAAACCGGTGTATTTATACATTTTAAAGAATGTGGCACTAGCTATCTCATTTCATATATGGGCTTTGTCTAAATACTAACACTATGAAAACATTCTGAAGAGAGAAAAAATACAACATCTCTTCATAAGTCAATTCAAATCTTGGAACAAAATAAACACATCAATTGTTTCAAAGTTCTAAGATCAGAAGCCATTTTTGTAAAAATTTCCATCCAATATATTTTTTTAATTTTTTAATCACTTTGGGGGGCTCTTACAGCTCTTATCACAGTCCATACATAATCCATTGTGTTAAGCACATTTGTCCATCGGCTTTCTTCACTATATTTTGCTTATGCACCCATTTTGTCTTCATCGATCGTGTCGGGAACGTGTATTATACAAAGTGATTTTTTTCCTTCCGAATTACATGGTTTAGCTGCCTGGGTAGTCAGAGAATTTTTAGTTCTTTCAGCTCTTCTGTTTTCATTTTGGCACTCAATATTTATGTGTAGCTACACAATACAAATTAACTAACATAGGACAAGTGGTTTATGGTTTAATGGTTTAAACATATCTGTATGGTTTAATGATAGAGGATTGATAAACTGTTTTCACATGAGCCTGACGTATGTAGTATATCACTTATACCAAAATTTAAGCCTTTTGAATCTGTCTTATTTTCTAGAGCTACTCTTTGTTGTCTCGTTTTTTTCTGGCTTTTAAATTTAATGTTGCAGTGGTTTGTGCCTGATTAAACTGCTATGAAAATTGAAGTACAGACAATGAGGGCATACATCACTTGTTTCTGAAGTATTTTTTAACTCTCTCCCTTTTTAAAGATCACAGTTCACTTTCTTACCAATGCAGCAGAGCTTGACCTTCAGTATTTGATGTGCGTACACAAAGATAGACACATACATGGATACAGGTGCAGGTGTATATGTGAACACACAAAGACATCATACTGACTAGAATGTGTGTTACTATCTTATGTTCAAACCCATCAGTGCTAAAGGAAGATTTACAGTCTCAGAAACTCTAAAGAGTGCTCTTCTGCCTGTAAGAACACTATGAGTTGGAATCAACTTGATGGGAGGGGAATCTATTTAATGTGGGAGAGAGAAGACGATTGTTGTTTTCACTTTATTCTTATATCTGAGTTCTGAAATCTTAGAAGTTATGACCATATAAACATTTTAGATTAGAAAATCTTACAGATACCTGAAGATAACATATAGACTAGTAATTTTAATTAACTTTTAAAGCTTCTTTATTATGGTATCTCCTTAGTTTATAAAATATACTTCTTTAAATACTATGATTAAAAATTAGCCCATCTTAAGTATCACCTCAACAAAAATTTCAATTACCATAAAAATTTATGGTTGCAAATGATAATTCTCTATAAAAAGATATTTAAGTGTTTTTTGTTCCCCCTGTAGATGGACCCAGCATTAGAAAAACATCGAGAACAGTTGGTCATTGAAGTTGGACGAAAATTAGACAAAGCTCGTATGATTCGTTTTGAGGAGCGAACTGGATATTTTTCTTCTACTGATTTGGGTAGAACCGCCAGCCACTATTATATTAAATACAACACCATTGAGGTATTGTGCAGAGTTGATCAAATTAAATAACGTGCTCGTTATTAGAAGCAAAGACTTCCTGGCCCTCAACATACATTATTAATGCAAAATATTAAAATCAATGCATTCAACAGTGCACTTAACTTCCATGAGTCAACAGCACACACGCAGTAAAGGGAAACAAGATTTTAAGGATAGCTGTATGTTACTTATATCCACTGTATATTCTGTGAACTAGAATGCTATGCGCTGTGGACATGGTGTGAACACGACATGAAAAGTTTATAGGAGCCCCTACCCTTGCCACCTCTGCTTCTGGCAGAGCTGAAGGAATGGATGGCTGTGGCGGCAGCACAGGCTGAGGGCAGTCACAGGAGTTGGGAGAGAGGCAGCAAGCAGACAAGTAGCAGCGTACCCAGGCTCCCCCACTACACCTCCCACCTGAACAGCAAGAGCAGAATTTTTAACAAGAGGAGAACTTCTTTCCCTTAAAAAGAATGAAAGAAACCTCCTGAGACCATAGATGTATAGGTAATGAAACATTGCCCGAACAGATATTGAGCAGCACGTAACTATTTTAAGAACCCTGTTGCCATACTGCTTGAGGGGTACATCGCAATCAGTAGATACACCAAGTCTGAAATGGTGAAAGCATGTTCGTGAGCCTGTGGAATAAGTACCTGGATAATTTTAAGTGACTTTCTTGACTAAACAGTTAGGACTTAATTTCAATTTGTAGAGAAACACTGACTGACTAAGTGCTAGAAGGAGTAATACAATTATTAAGTCAGCCTGGTTGTCATATATCGGCAATTGAAGAGATTTGCAAGGAAATTTGACTGCACAATTTAGCCTCTCCTGTTGTCTTTGAATGTAGTTCTATGTGTAAGATGGTATGCCACTATAATTACATTTTATAAAGTACATGCATGTATTCCTGTAAGTTCACACACATTTATACATATGCATATATATATATAAATATATAAATACTCAAGAATCTTTCCTATGAGTAGACATTTTTAATTTGAAGACACATGGGTAAGGTAGGAAATGTGTTAAGATGGATTTTAGCCTTGAATTATTTAATAAGACAAAATGACGTTATAGAAATATTTTTAAATAGAATTTATTAAAAATGAATTTTTTTCAGAAATACAAATCCCTTGACCCCTGTGAACATAGGTTTTGAGCATGTGGTTTAGGTCCTTCATTGTCACACAGTGCCCCTACAGGACAGAGTAGAGCTGCCTCGGTGGGTTCTGAGGCCGTCCATCATTACAGAAGCCCAAGGTCTCATCTCTCTCTGGGTTCAAACTGCCGATCTGCTTAGCAGCCCATTTCCTAACCCACTACACCACCAGGCTCGCTGTGGTCAGGATCATCTGGATTATTATTATTATTAATTTATATCCTTTGAAGTTCTATTGGTGCTGTCAGGTAAGCATTGGACTTCTATCATCAAGGATGATGGTTCAAACCCACCAGCTTCTCCAAAGGAGAAAAATGAGACTGTCCGCTCCTATAATGATGTACAGCATCAGAAACCCTATATAGGTTCTTTAAGAGTCAGAATTGACATAATTAGGCAATGGTTTATTTTAAAAAACCTTTGCACTTGGCTGCTAACTGCAAGTGGTACCCAGTTGTGCCACAGAAGAAAAGGCCTGCAGATCAACTTCCATCCAGATTAAAACCCTCCAGGGCAGTTGTACTCTGTAACAAACTCTGCAGCCAGGAGCTGAATCCACGAAGAACAGCAGCAACAGCACGGGGGTTAACCAACTCAATGTCACTGGGTCGATTCCGACATGGTGGTTAATGGGTGTCAGAAAACATCTTTCTGTCCTTATAAACTCTCTCCCATTACTCACCAAAGAAGCTTTGTACAGTGTTCTAGGGTTTTGCATTGCCTTTTAAAATATTTTATTTAACAACTTTCATTGGGTGATTTATCAGCCCATCACATTTTTCCTAGCCCTTCACTTTTTCTGTCACCCCAGATTAACCTTATCAGTCCAATTGGTAGTATGTTTACTGCCAAACTAGTTTTGTCTAGTTTCCATCTAGCTAATCCTATTCTTTCTTTAGCATTGGCTTTCTTAGATATTGGTTATTGCTTGTTTGTCATAATAGCCGATATTCTAACTTTCTACATACCTTTGCTACTAATACTGTGATAGATTTGCCAGGATCCTCAGCTTATGCATTTTAAGTTTTGCTTCCAATTTTTACATAATATAAATAACCTGAACCAGTAAAAGTAGGTGCTGGGTAGTTGACTGAAACTCATGAGAGCCACCTGGGTTTTCAGTGACTGAATTGTTTTGAAATGCATTGCCAAACCTTTCTTCCAAGGCACCTCTTGTGGGCTCGAACCTCCAGTTTTTAGAATAGCCGAACAGTTCATCCATTTGTAGCACTTAGGATAGGAACTCCATGACCAGTGCAGGGATGGTGAGTGGTACATATTTCCCATATGCTGAAAATTAGCAAAGACCAACATGTTATGATGAACATTTGTGCAGATCTCTAATGTTGGTTTTACTTCCCTCCTTTCCCTTCTAAAGTCTTTCCTAGCTGACTCCTTTTTAGTCTTACTATGATACATTTGATGATGTTTTTGAAGTAACCTTTTGGAATGCTACAGATGTTATTGTAAATTATTATTGTCTAGGGATAAAAGGCTCTTTAAGAATTTATGATTTATAGTCATGTTTTTAATTTCCAGTATTATACTGAACTATTTTAATAAAATATAACACTTATTTGTAGACTTTTAATGAACTCTTTGATGCTCACAAAACAGAAGGCGATATCTTTGCCATAGTGTCTAAAGCTGAAGAATTTGATCAAATCAAGGTAAGATTTATTTTGAAGCGTCAATACGTGTAACACATATACTTTGATGTATATATAAAAGCTCATAAGTTATTGTTATTCTTGATGCAGTATAGATGTATGTTCTTAATCAGCAGTATCCACTCTCCTAAATTAGATGCTGTCATGTGTTACATCATGCTTTTTTTCCAAGTCATATATAATGTAAATGTGTTGTACAGTAATGAGACTTTCAGGAAATAATAGTGTATACATTGTGTTTTATTTGCAATATGAGGTTCACTGAAGAAAATATAAAAGACATGCATTATTCAAACTTAGATGTGAATATTTCTGTATCAGTTATTTAATCTGATTAACAGTAAAAACTTTAATACTCTGAATTACAGTACTTCACAACTTTCAAATATGAATATGTTATACCATATAAAAATATATCACTGTAATGAATGCATTTGAAGATAATTCAAGTTTGCCCTAATCCATTTGGGCAGAGGTTTTACTCTGGTCAAATAAAAAATGAAATCTCATCAGTTGAAGGATGGTGAGGTCAGGGATTTAATTTTTGTGGTATATCAAATTTTTGTATGTCAATGGCAGCTTTAATATTGATGATGAATAATAAAATATGATTGTATGAGACAAGATACTTTTCATATTGTACTTTATTAGCTCAAAGTAAAAAATACTATTATTCAGCTATATAAAAGGAAAATGTTCAGTTACAGTAAATTGAAACTTTTAAAAGCTTGGATGTAGTTTAATGTAAATATGAAAGACTTTTTATAAATCTACCCAAATATTCCTATAAAAACGTTGATTTTTCCAGGTGAGAGAAGAAGAAATTGAGGAGTTAGATGCCTTATTGAACAATTTCTGTGAACTGTCAGCCCCTGGTGGTGTAGAGAACAGTTACGGGAAAATCAACATCCTACTTCAAACGTACATCAGCCGAGGGGAAATGGACAGTTTCTCTCTGATATCAGATTCTGCATATGTTGCACAAGTAAGACTTTTACTTCCTTTCTATTTCCTATTCTTTATTTCAGGGAATCAGAGAATTAGGTCATTCTGAGCATTGTGAATGTACTAAATTGTGATGTGCCACCAGTTTGCCTTTGTGTCTTAAAACGGATTTTGTTGACTTTGCTCATCTTTTATATAGTCTGGAGTATTAAATCAGGCTTGGGATGTGATTTGATGGTTATTTTGACTATTGTCTGATATTACTGTTGTTTTCATTATAAAGATCTTAATATACCAAGTATTTTTAATTCTTGTTATTTAAGGAGTAACTGATTTTATATTTTAATGGCAAAGTTTATGTCTTGCATTTTTTTAAAAAAGCAATGAATATTTAAAGCAAAAAAAAGTATTTGGAGGCTTTGTTGCATCCCTCAATTTGTTGAAAATATAAATAAATCTTTTTAGCTTATAAGTATGTCTCCTATCACCCATTCAGTATGACTTGACTCTAATTAAAAAAATAAAAATAAATTGATGCTTGGTGTCAGCATATCGATTCGAAGCCAGTTCTGAATGACACCAACAAAACTTGAAACTACCGTCTTCATGGATAAAATCCTGGAGTCATTGCAAACCAAAGTTTGTGGGCCCCAATAATATGGGTAGTGCGCTCATCAGAGCTTCCTTTGTCATCCTTCTCTTATTAAATTTTCCCCCTGTGTCCCCAAATCTTTCTTATATCACCTGGAAATAGCTGCTTACATTGAATCACCGGGCTGTCTGCCCAGGACCATCCTCAATGCTTACGTTCTAGGTGGTCTCAACAGCCTTTTCTGCACGCATATCCCCTGCCTTCCTGCTTGATTCCATTTAGAGAGTATAAGAGTGGAACTTCCTAAGAATTTGGAACTACAGTATTGCTACTCTTGGAGAATGAAATGGTAGTATCCATGTATAAAAGATGTTATTATTCATACAAAGAGTCAATAAGGATAATGAAAGTCATGTGAAAATAAACGTTGCCCCCCAAATTAAAGGATGATGCGTGACTTACATTTCTTTTGAAACTGAGGCTGAATTATAAATGTACTAGCAAGTTTAAAAGCACAGTGGACGTAACTACCAATTTCCCTTTCTTATTCTTCAGAATGCAGGTAGAATTGTCCGTGCCCTTTTTGAAATTGCTCTGAGGAAACGTTGGCCTACCATGACCTACAGGCTCCTGAATCTCAGTAAAGTTATCGACAAGAGGCTTTGGGGTTGGGCTAGCCCTTTGAGACAATTTTCAGTCTTACCACCACATATTCTTACAAGATTAGAAGAAAAAAATCTTAGTGTGGATAAGCTGAAAGACATGAGAAAGGATGAAATAGGTAAGAATATATTCAAAGTATTTATTGCACTATGGAAATAAAATATTCACTGGATATAAAAATATTAAGAATGTTCACATTACTTAAAATACATTTTTATCCTTTTAAATGATGTTTCTTTTGATTTATCTAACCCATCCATAGATATCTCCAGATTTTATGCAGTTGCTCCAATTAGCTATTAAAATGGAGTTTAGATGTCTAGCCCTTATTTGACTATTTTACAGATAAAAATAGATACATGAGCAATTACTGAATGAAATTGATTCACAATTGTTTTAATATTTAATTCATTTCAAAACCTTTTATTATGTATATAAGGAATATTATAGTAAAAGAAAAGGTGAACATTAATCTCTGCATATCTACAAAATGTCTAAAGGAACTTCATCCTTAACACATATATACATCTGTAAACCTAGTTAGTATCAGTGTGTACACTGCATTTGGTATTCTGCGTGTTTAACATAACACAAGCTAATATAAAAACAATCTCATATAGCCTAATGTTTCACTAACTAAATATATAACCCGTTGAATATATAATTGCCAAGCTGATGAGAAATGAGGGGTAGATTCCTGTTGGGAAAAGGTCTCACGATATGAAGGGAATCTGAAGTCTGTTTTTTATTTTTGCCGATGCAGAAGAAGAAAAACACTAACGTCCTTCTCACACCCCTTGCTAATGAATATGACTTTTCTAGCCCGTTGTCTCTGTTACTGCCATCAAACAGCCTAATCTTGATAGGTCTGGGTAAGAGAAGGTAGGGGAAGACACTGAAAGGATTCGGTTGTGAGTGATCGTTAACAGGACTAATTGGGATTGCCATCTGACTGGGTATAAATGAGCCATGTTAGATGCAGGAAAGTGGGTATCTCCCTACAACCAGGAGAGAAGAGCCTGGAGTGATTCTTTGGACTCCCAAGACCATTGCACACTGAACCTCCTTAATCCAGGAGATAGCTTTAACACCCTAGGAGTGCCAGCAGCAGAAGCAGGAACCAGAGCACGGTGGACTTCCCATCCCAGAGATGATAAAGCTGAGTGCTTTCCCAAGGGAAGTTGGCATGTGGAGTGATGTGCCTCCAGACACTTACTGGGGGAGCTAGAAGTGAGCACCTTTAGGCAGAGGTTTATGGGGAAATGGTGTGCCCTTTCGGCACTTCTTGGCTGCACTGGCACAGCTTTACACCATTGTTTGAGCAGGGCACAGGCAAACAAGCTTGAGAGGCCAAAGACTAGAGAGAGGCCTGCCTGCTGTGAAGAGGTTCTGAAGAGGCTGTCCTGTATGAATGACCATCTCTTCATCATTTAAAATTTGTTAACTACTAAAAACACACACACACATACACACAGGAGCCCTGGGGGCATAGTCAGTTACAAGTTGGGCTGCTAACCACAGCATCAGCTGTTCAAACCCACCAGGTGCTCTGTGGTAGAAAGATGAAACATTGTAATCTCATAGAGATTTACACCCTTAGAAACCTAAGGGGCAATTCTCTTATCTTACAGGGTAGCAGAATTTACTCTTTGGCAGTGAGGGATTTCGTTGTTGTTGTCTATTGTTAACTTCCTTAATCACTCCCATAATCAGGAGCATTGTCCATGAGTTCTGAGTGGGTACTGTAATTGAACCCCGCTCAGAAGTGAGGGTGCTGTGGAAAAGGACAGTTGGTGTTAGAATTGGTAGGAAGTTTAGAGCTTGAGTTTAGAGCTAAGTTTAGCCTCATAGAAATCTGCCTTGGGTGATACTGATGTGGACTTTCATTTTCCATTCCATGTGTGTAACTGGAGGAGGTCAGACACTATCCTCCCACATTATTCTTTGTTATACACACCCAAACAGAAAATTGTGAGTTATTAATAAGGGAAGTTGAGGTTACGCGCATTGAGGAAACATCTAAATATTTCATCAAACTCAGGAAGGCAGTTTTTGTTTCAAATATGGGTAAGTGTAAGATATTTAGATTTATTTATAAATGTTCTTTTTAAAACTTTTAAAAATCATTTTATTGGGGCTCATACAAATTCATCACAATACATACATCAATTGTGTAAAGCACACTTACACATTTGTTGCCCTTACCATTCTCAAAATTGGCTATTTTGAAACACTAAAATATACAGGCAATTTTGGTAAATTGAGATACAGTATATTTTCACTCATTGCTGTGTCTAGAGTGGAAAAATGTTTGTAATTGGACAACTTTTTTATACTTTGCTCCTTGACACTCCCATGCATAGCTACATTCAAGAATTTGACCCTTTATTAAAATGTATGCATAAGTGGTTAATTTTGTGCCAGAATGACCGTATTTTATGTGTTCAGGGAATAGGGTGAATAGGTGAGTTATGTTTCATTACTGAAGCAAATAGACCTCGAATAAGTTAATTTACAAAGTACTAAATATTCCTCTACAGTATTAATAAATTAACTAGAAGGAAAGTCTACCTGTTTCTAGTAATTTCAACACAATCCTTAAAGTCTTAGTAACTTTAAGAACCCTAGTAATAGCCAAAGAAACATTGCAACTGGTTTTCAGAGCTGTGAATTGCTAATTCAAGTTAACTATTACAAAATATTCAAACACGCCAGGTCAAGAATGTCAGTTATTCTACATGGCAAATCATAAAAACAAGCCATAAAATCGCCGCCGCAGTCCCATTTACAAGTCAGATTATACTGCTTTTCTTGTGTCTGTATGCATTTCTTCTATGTGATATTTTCCTTGCAGGTCACATATTGCATCATGTGAATATCGGTCTGAAGGTCAAGCAATGTGTCCATCAGATTCCTTCTGTTACAATGGAAGCATCCATTCAGCCCATCACACGAACTGTCCTCCGGGTGACCCTCAGCATCTCTCCTGACTTCTCATGGAATGATCAGGTAGAAGTGGAAAATACCTCTGTCTGTGCTATACAAAAATATACTTTGGACAGGTTCAGCTATACTCTATCCTGAAGGCCTCTTGAAAAGAACCTGTATTACTTTCAGAAGTAATTTAAAACATAGAAATGCTTTCTGTCATCATCAAGGAAAACATACAGTATGATATAATTATCTCAACCAATGAAGGCCCCCTAAGTTCTGTGCTGTCTAGTCAGTTTCAGCTCATAGCTGTTCCATGTACAAAGAATGAAACAGGGCTGCATCTCTGAGCCCAGTGTAGTACTCGGTGCTCTCACTGAGGGTCCTCCTTTTTTACACTGATGCTCTAGCTGTACCCAGCAGGATGGCCTTCTGCAGTGTCTCGTCTTTCTTGATAACATATCCAAAGTATGTGAGTCAGAGCATTTAGGAAACATAAAACTTCCACACTGTACGTTAGTGCGATGAATTCAACTTCAGAGGAACTGTGCCGTATTAGCTTTATCTTCTTTCATGTTTCCTGTGTTATCCTCACTTTTGCCATCTCTGTTGACTTTGTCATATTGGCCTACAAAAACTCACTATTCGCCATGCTTACAGAACCATTTTAAAATCTTAATGCCTCTCAGATTGCCATCTCTCCTTTTTTCTTTTTTTAAATCATTTGACTTCTATAAAGCTTGTACTGCATTTTCCTCCACTCCCTAATCACTTGTCTGGCTAGACCAGAGGATGTACACTGGTACAGATAGGAACTGGAAATACAGGGAATCCAGGCCGGATGATCCCTACAGGACCAGTGGTGTGAGTGGTGATACTGGGAGGGTAGAGGGAGAGTGGGTTGGAAAGAGGGAACTGATTACAAGGAACTATATGTGACCTCCTCCCTGTGGGGGACAGACAACAGAAAAGTGGGTGAAGGGAGACGTCAGACAGGGCAAGATATGACAAAATAACAATTTATAAATTATCAAGGGCTCATGAGGGAGGGGGGAGCGGGGAGGGAGGGGAAAAATGAGGACCTAATGCCGGGGGCTTAAGTGGAGAGGAAATGTTTTGAGAATAATGAGGGCAATGAATGTACAAATGCGCTTTACACAATTGATGTATGTATGGATTGTGATGAGTTGTATGAGCCCCTAATAAAATGATTAGAAAAAAAAAAGAGTACTTTCTCCATGACCATGGGAGAAGTAAATTGCAGTACGCTAATGCTGGCTGCACGTGGATATTGCAAGATTGAGAGGAACATTTTCTCTCTTGTTGGCTCTGAGCAAAGTCCTTGTATCTTTTCAGCACCTGTAAGCTAGGCATTCCGGGGAGATCTCCAGGGCAGAGTCTTCCCCTGGGTGTAGGAGTTTCTCAGTAGAGGGCTCCCAGGTCCAAAGGGTGCCCTCCAATTCAAGCTCTGTTTTCTTCGTGGTAGCCTGTCCTCCTCTGCTTCTCTCTTATTTTGTCTCTTGTAAGATAAAAACTGTTGGCAGATCACACCCCCTTACATCCATCAAGGTTGTGACAGAATTAAGTGTGTGACATCCTAACTTTAATCATCTTATTGGTTTATAACATCATAGGAGATCATTACATAACACCTCACACTACATCATTACATAACCCCCAGGCATTGAGGCTCATGGCCCAGCCAAGTCGACATGTTTTTTGGAAGGACACAATTGTATCCATGACAGGAGACTATTAGCTGCACAAATGGAAGATTTGACTCAAACTGACTCAAGCAACAAGGAAATGTATTATCTGGCACAATGAACAAGCCTTAAGGACGATTGAGTTCTCTGTTGTATAACATGGTCCCATGTCCAGGGTCGTTTTACCTCTGCTCTGCTAGGACTGTGAACAGTTCCCTAAGTATTTTCCCTAATTCCATGCTTATAGTTGGCAGAGGGTAGAAAATACACTCATTTCACAGCCCAAAGGATGGACTTATATGTCCTTCTCCACAGTCTATTTTGACCATGTTCTTGTCTTGCCCACAAGCTATTGTCCTGAGAAAGCCCAAAGCTGATTGCCTTATGAAAAATTATCCCAAGAGAGTCAATATTGCCTGAAATGAATACAAAGGAGAGATGAATATTGAACAAGACTGAGTTTAGGGGAAATTTTAAGAACTAGAAATGAATCGAAATATTGTATATGTAATGGAATTTAACAACAAAGGGTCTATTAATTCACTGCTATAACATAGTTGAATACTGACAATATCATGGTAAATAAAATAAGTCATTCAAAGAAAACCCATATTTTATGATTCCATTTACGTGAAATACCCAGAAAAACCAAGTCTGTAGAGAATGCTGGATCTCTGGTGACATAGAGGGTTATGAGCTGGACTGCTAACTACAAGGTCAGCAGTTCAAACCCACCAGTCACTCCACTGGAGAAAGAGAGGCTTTCCTTTGTAAAGATTTATAACCTCAAGAACCCAAAGGGGCAGTTCTGCATTGTCATTAGGATGGCTGTGAGTTGAAAAGTATTCTGGGATACCAAGCTGAGTTCCGTTCGTGGAAAACAGAGATATACTTGTGATTTGGGGCTTCCTAGGAGGAGGAAGTAATGATAATGGGAAGTGGAAGTAATAACTAGTAAGGAAAATTTATTTTAGAGTGATGAAAATATTTAAAACTAGCTTCTGATGATGGTTGCACAACTCCCTGAGTATATATAGTAAGAACCACTGAACTGGATACTCTAAATGGTTGAATTTTATATCCTGTAAAATATGTGGCAGAAAGGCTGAGAGAGATGGGCATAAATACAACAGTGTGTCACCCTTTTGAGTTTTGATATGCATAGTGTTAGGATGCCGTTTCTCTTCTAGGTCCACGGGACAGTGGGAGAACCCTGGTGGATTTGGGTTGAAGACCCTACAAATGACCACATTTACCATTCTGAGTACTTTTTAGTTCTGAAAAAACAGGTAAATATTATCCTATTATGTTATTATCAAATGAGAAAATACTACTTAAATGATTTTTTTGGTTTTTACCTTATTCCCCTTAATTTTATAGTGCCATTAAAACACATTTTGTTTCTACTTGAATCTAAAAGAAAATATAAGTGAAATGGTTATTACTGATTCATTCCATGTGATCTTAGCTTGAGAAATTAAGTGTAATTATCATAGTTTGCAGCATGGTTTCTTGAAGTGTAGTGGGGAATATGTACAACAGGTGGGATAAATAATTTTAAAGAATATTAAAATGCACAAGGAAAATGGCGTTCCTTTATGAATCCTTCTCTAAATTCCAAGGGAAAGACTCAATTTAATGCTATCATGTCTTTAATGCTTTATTTGTAATTTTTCTTTCACCAAAAAGAAAGCAAGCTTCAGACTGACAAATTTGGATGGGCTGCAATCGATTTTCATAGCAAGGTTTTATTTTCATTGCATTTGTCTTCATGATAGCTTTCTATTTATCCGTAGAGAAGTGAGTGAGTGTGAGAGAGAGAGAGAATGTGTGTGTGTGTCTGTGTGTGTTTGTGTGAGCGCGCGCGCGCGCACTCAGCTGCACACATCTAAGCAGTGGCTGACAGATGGGAGTTGAATGGTCTTCTTTTTTCTACTTAAGGTAGTGATAGAGTTTAAAGAAAAAATATAAGTAAGTATATAGTGATTGATGGTCTAGGTGAAAGATAAGACTGTCTACTCCCATGAAAATTTTGTTTCAAAAGTCTTCTATCAGGTTGCTCTGAGTCAGAATTGACTCGGCGGCAGTAGCTATGGGTTTTTTTATTTGAATATAGTAAAAATAATTAAGTTATTAAATGAATGAAGTTTAGGAAAATCTGATGATTCAAATTAGTAACCTGTCGACACATGATAATATGCATCTATAAATAATATTAAGTAAGGCTCTGCATCTGGGGACGCTAGCAGCTCTCGGCTCCAGGCCCAGCTTCTTTCAAGATGTCTACTGTCCACGAGATTCTGTGTAAGCTCAGCTTGGAGGGCGATCACTCCGCACCTCCAAGTGCATACGGGTCCGTCAAGGCCTACACCAACTTCGACGCTGAGCGGGACGCTTTGAACATTGAAACAGCCATCAAGACTAAAGGTGTGGATGAGGTCACCATCATCAACATTTTGACCAACCGCAGCAATGAACAGAGACAAGACATTGCCTTCGCCTACCATCGAAGGATCAAAAAGGAACTTCCATCAGCCCTGAAGTCAGCCTTATCCGGCCACCTGGAGACGGTGATTTTAGGCCTATTGAAAACACCTGCTCAGTATGACGCATCCGAGCTGACAGCTTCCATGAAGGGGCTGGGAACCGATGAGGACACCCTCATACAGATCAGATGAGGACACCCTCATACAGATCAGATCTGCTCCAGGACCAACCAGGAGCTGCAGGAGATCAACAGAGTCTACAAGGAGATGTACAAGACTGACCTGGAGAAGGACATCGTGTCGGACACATCCGGCGACTTCCGCAAGCTGATGGTCGCCCTGGCGAAGGGTAGGAGAGCAGAGGACAGCTCTGTCATTGATTATGAACTGATTGACCAGGATGCCCGGGATCTGTACGACGCTGGCATGAAGAGGAAAGGAACCGATGTTCCCAAGTGGATCAGCATCATGACCGAGCGGAGCATGTGCCACCTGCAGAAAGTATTCGAGAGGTACAAGAACTACAGTCCTTATGACATGCTGGAGAGCATCAAGAAGGAAGTGAAGGGAGACTTGGAAAATGCTTTCCTGAACCTGGTCCAGTGTATCTAGAACAAGCCCCTGTACTTTGCTGATCGACTGTATGACTCCATGAAGGGCAAGGGGACCCGTGATAAGGTCATGATAAGGACCATGGTCTCCCGCAGTGAAGTGGACATGTTGAAAATCAGATCTGAATTCAAGAGAAAGTACGGCAAATCCCTGTACTACTACATCCAGCAAGATACCAAGGGCGACTACCAGAAAGCGCTGCTGTACCTGTGTGGCGGGGACGACTGAAGTGCGAGAAGTTCCCAGGGCCCTAGACGGTGCTCCCACCATCTCCAGCTAACAGTTTTAGGAAACGCGCTTGCGACTAACAGCCCCAAGCCCGTCCCTCTGAGGATGACATCAGCAATGCCCCAGCACCCCTGCTTATTCTAGTGGCCTGGCTTTCCCAGCTTCTCTCTCCTTTCAGCCAAAGAAATGAACATTCCAAGGAGTTGGAAGTGAATTCCATGATGTGAAACGCTCTGCCTGTTGTGTACTGTGTCATAAACAGATCAATAAACTGCATTTGTATGTCAGAAACAACTAAAAAAAATAATATTAAGTAAATGTAAATTTTACTGTTACATCAGTTGCCTTCAGAATGTAATCATTTATGAGTTTCTGAATGTAATCATCTGTGAGTTTCCTAAGTAAAGCAGTTGCTTAGAAATCCACGATACTTTTGGTTTTTAGGACCTCTTGCTGAAGAATGCCATTGTTTTAATAATAGACTAATTAAAACTTTTTGATACTAGAGTATCCGTATTCATTTTCACCTTTTTTTTTTTTCATATTAGGTCATTAGTAAAGAAGCTCAACTACTAGTATTTACAATCCCTATTTTTGAGCCTTTGCCTTCCCAGTACTACATCCGAGCTGTGTCTGATAGATGGTTAGGAGCCGAGTCTGTGTGTGTTATCACCTTCCAGCACCTGATTCTGCCCGAGAGACACCCTCCTCATACAGGTAGGTAACGGGTGAGGTGATAGCTTGACTCAGCCAGTCCCCAAATGTGTTGTTTTAATTGCTACTGAAACTGTGTGAGTGCCTCAACGACATTAGTATTGTTTAAATATACATCAAAATCTTAACTTGTCAGTGTAGTTTGAAAAAAGACTCTTCAAACTCTGAAATCTATATTATATATCTATATTATGTAGAGCTTAATAATAGTCCTTAACTTTTGTTTGAGTCCCCAAAACGTTAAATCTAGACCAATTCTAGTACTTCTTCCAGGCATGGAATTTGTTATTTCTCTTTTGTCTCTATTTTCACATAAAATTACTATATTTCTCTATAGCTCCTTCCTTTTATAAATGTCATTTAATAATTTTCCTCATACTTATTACAACTTATTTCTAGTATATTAAATGAATTAAAATGAGTCATTTCTTGTTTACTCTCTGATTTGCCTCTATATCCAAGAAAAAAAAGTGCTAATACTATGCAGTCACATTATTATCTATATCACTCGAGAACAGGTCAAATCTACCTAAAGTCAGTTCATGTCCAACAAGCTGCGGGAGCCTTTATATAGTTCTGTTCATCCACATTAGCAGTATAAGAGGGCCTATGATCATCTGCATTATCCTTGTAGCACTGGTTTTCATGGTTATAACTGACAAAATCCATTTTAGATTCTTAGCCAGACAAATGTCTTTCTCTTTTGACTTAATAAAGAAGCAAAAATGAATAAATGTTGAAATGAAATGAATTAATAAATGTTCACAGTACTTTACAATGTGCCTCATCAAAATCTATTTCAGAAATTCTCTGAGAATATTAATCAGTGTATCAGTACATTAAGTTTATTTTGTTTTATTGAAAATTTATAATTTGAATATTGATTTCAGCAGGCCCTTGATTTCAGAAAAATAGAAGTCATTTTTCTATATAATTTTCCAAAAACAAATATAAATCATAATTCAGAATTGAATTCTAGTATTTGAGCTGTTTTTAAAAGGAGCATACTACTTGTTCGTTTTTTGAGGAGTGAAAGACAGCCTTAATGTGACTTTAAACTGCCATTTTTGTCAAATTAGCATATTAGCATAATTGCACTTTTATGTCTTCACCAAAGTGATCTGAAAGACTCATCACATAAAAGTGAGATTATACTATCTACTGATCTTCACACTTAAAATGATCTTATTTTCCAGATTTTTTAAGGTAAATAAGCTTATGTGTGAAATCTAGAAACTAAAAATAAAGTATATAAGAAGATCTAGAAACTAAGAATAACGTATATAAAAAGATTCAGTACTTAAATTTGAAATATGTGCTATAAGCATCACTTCCCCATTTTTTTTACTATATCACTTGATTTTAGCATGCCATAGCATTATTTTTTAATGCTCATTTAATCACTGCTTTGTTGAGTGGCCATCTATTTATTTAATTAGCTGATTTCAAACTCTACTTTAAAAAGCAGTAAATGCTCCACAATGACATCTCAATTGATATTAAAAATATAAAATATAGCTTCATTCTTCCAGGTTTTATTTGGCTCAAAATAGATACAGGCATCCCTTTAAGCCCAAATCAGCCCCCCCAAAATCTTCATCTTTTACAGAAGTGAAGCATCTTAGTTTATAATAGTCAATATATATATAAATATTTATAATCTATAATGAGACTGAATCTGTTCTGTTGATTGACATTTGATTTTAGTCTTCCCTCCTCCCAACTTGATTTTCAGTGCTGCAGAAAAATAGGATGTTGTGATGTGTCATGGAAAGTATGCAAGTACTGTAGCTGTCTGTTACTTCAGGTAAAAGGATAGCAGTGGAGCAAGGATGAAAAGTAGTAGCATTTTTACTCTGCAGTGCATTTGTTGATGAGAATCTCTTATGCTCTCCCTTTTGAAACTATGAATATGCAGACCATCATATCATCTTACTGATTTTTCTTCTCAAACCTCAAATTAGTAGAATCATCTTCAATGAAATGATCCCGGAAGTAAAGCTGTTTTCTGATTCCTGCTTTTTGGGGTGTGGGAGAAAGTCAGGGTCTGTCAGGTACTTAAGGATGGATGGAGGCTGTTGTTTAGTTGCTGTTGAATTGCTACTTCTCATGGAGACCTGTGTGCATAGTAGCACCGCTGACCTTACAGAAGCAAATCACTGTTTGTCTTGCAAAGGCGTTGGGATTAGTAGTCAAGTGCTTAGCTGTTTACTCCTCTCTGAGACTTAAGGATAAATTCCTCTGCTTCTCCAAATAATTTTAATTTTCTAATACGTAGACCTTCAGTCTGTGTAATGGGTAACAACTAAATCTCAGATCTTGCAAGTGTCCTGAGTGCAGTTCTTATTCACTCCCATGTTTTAGTATCCCATGGTTCTTCACAGAATTATTCTAAATTCCTGCTTCTTTAAGGAACTGTCATGGGGCTACATACTTCCAGAGAAAAGTGTGGCCACCTCACAAGTCTTCTCCTGCCTGCATGGCACCATGAAGCTTGTGGTGATTGGAACCCTCTCCTCACCAAGGTCAATGCTGCCACTGCCCAGGGCCATTGCTGCCACACTGTTGGCAGGCTACTTAGGTCTCTAACCAAACTCACTTTGGAACCTCTTTCTGAAGCTGAAAGAAACTTAAAATATGCCTTCTTGTGCCCAAGTGTGCTGTAAAACAACCTCTGTGCCCTCCATTGTGATGTCTTTTGGATTCTACCTCCTTTAAAAATTTCAAATGGGAAATACTTAATTAGTAATACCTCACTTTCCCAAAGGATATGCTTTTATTATCCACCAACTTATATTGTAGATAGAGTTAGTAAGAGATAGGATAGACACTACAGCTAATACTCACTTTCCTTTTTGAACTCCCTTCTCAGCCTCTTGCTTAGAGGTTCGGACTGTACTACTAATATGCAGGTGGCATTAAAAGGTAAAAATTAGATCTTTTGTGTCGGGTTGCTTTATTTCTAACCTCTGCAATATAATGTCTGTTGTTGGATGGAAATGGTCACAGAGAAGAACTGAAAACTAGGCAATTTCCCCAGTGACTATTCAGCCACAGACAGGTAATGGATAAGAGAAAAATATTTCTGTTTCAGAAGTTTACGCTTCATGTTATCTTCTACTACCTCTTCGATTAGGAAACATGCTTTCGTTTAGACTCAGCAGTCTCATACATGCCTTAGTCTCCTTTGATGGAAATGAGACACATATTCAATTTGACAATATCACTTACTTTTATAGAAGCCTTCATTTGGACCAATGAGTTTTTGGTTTGGTTTTCAGCTCAGTTTTATTTACACTTATAATACTCTTATAGTAGGACATTTCTTCTAACTTTGACAAGTTTAAAGACAGAAATTCATTTTGTAGTTGTTTTTCTTAATAGATTTGAGAAAACTCTCTCTCTCTCTTTCAATTGGCAAGAGCAGGGTTCAACAAACTTTTGAGACAGATGGGCCAATCCTGTCCTTCACAACAAATTAAAAATTACCCAAGATGCATTAATATATTTTTACAAAAAATGAAATCACCATTATCTAAGTGATATCCTTCAAAATGTTTTCAGTTTTACTTCAGAGCCACAGGTACATTCCAAAAAAGCCAAATATGGCTCAAGAGTCACAGTTTGCTGTCCCCTGGGCTAGACTTATTCAGTTGTGCAACAAATAAAAGTAATTCGTTAGCAGCAGCCATTCCGGAACTGAAGTTTGCAAGTGTGCTACGTTTTTCTTGAAATCAGAATAAATTTACTTTTGTTCTATAACCTCTTTACCTTCACACACTTTATCATTCAGGTTGCTTTCCTAATTGAGAGAGAACGATACAGTATTATAATTAGCTGCAGAAGGGATCCCTTATGTCAATATTACAAGTGTAATGATGGGACCAGGGGATATCTGTAACAGAGAAACCAGCTTATATTCTAGCATCTTCCCCTTGTTAAAACTTAAGGATCATTGTGTGTTGTTAATACTGTGCTATGTTTCAGTCACGGTCTGACGGTCTGACCTGTTGCATTTTTCAGAGTTACTGGATCTTCAGCCTTTACCAGTCACAGCTTTGGGAAATAGACAATACGAAGCCCTGTATAAATTCACCCACTTTAACCCTGTGCAGACACAGATATTTCATACGCTCTATCACACGGACTCTAATGTTCTGCTGGGAGCACCCACTGGGTCAGGGAAAACGGTTGCAGCTGAACTGGCCATTTTCAGAGTCTTCAACAAGTACCCTGCTACAAAGGTTTGTCCGAAGAAAATCACATGCATACCTTCATTTAAGAAAGATGTTTTGTAATCTATAAACTAGCCAGTTGTGCATATCCCGGCATGTCCCAGTGAGCAGACTTGTTACTCTGGCAGTGAATTTTTCAGTGGGGGCAATATTGCATCATATTACAAAAATTCACCACAAGAAATTTTACCTCAAATTGTATTGTGCTCTACCTAGAGTTCAATGTACAGAGAGGTTTTCATACATCCTTTATTCATTGTAAGATGACCACAGTTCATAGACCGTTTCATTGTGAGATCATTAATCCAGTCATATTTATCAGATATGTAATAATCAGCATCAGATTATTTGCCTGTGGAGTAAAGACAGTATGATTATATGTAGGAAATAGAGATATAGTTTTAATGCCATACTTTTCTAAATAGCCATAAGGTCATTAAAGAATATTAGACAGTATTATAAATGCAATAAGTAATTATGTAAAACTGTGAGCAATCATGATTTTAAATTGTGGTAATACAGTAAGTCCCCCGGTTACTAACACCTCATTAACGGAATTGTACTTGCCCTTGAGTGTTACGTAAATTTGCCTTGCACTTTGAATTAACCGAACCAGCCCTACTACAACACATTTTTATCACCATTACCTTCCCTTGCTGTGCTAGCCTTTAAATCATTGAAAAGGTTTTGGGGCTTTTCCTGTACTAACACAGCTAAATACGACCCCTATTTACCGTATATACTCAAATACAAGCCAACCCCAATATCCACCAAGGCACCCAATTTTACCACAAAAACTGCATTTAAAATGTGCCGGGGCTGGGGGGGGACTCGGCTTATACTCGAGTATGTATGGTACCTGTTAGGCTTACCTGAAAATGGATCCAAAGACATGGTTAGCCATGGATATCATTTGTTACCTGGTGACTGCATGTATTTCACATTTTAGGATAGAAATCCTTCAGAGATGTTGTATTGAGTTATGTGCTTTTCCTTCATATTTTGTGCTTCAAAGATGTTTTAACTTCATTTATTAGGGATTTCCAATTAGTAGCTCTTTTTACTTGCTTAGTATTGTGTTTCTACTGCTCAATTTCACTCTTGTATGCAACAATGGAACTCCAGTCCAAATTTGAAACCCTTTACATAAGGAAAAAATGTTTCTTCAGTGGATAATCTTTGTATAGGTTCAATTACTCAAAATGAGGTTGTTGTTATTGTTTAAGAATGAATACTTAGAATGTCTAATTGTGCTCCCATAAAATCTACATTAAAATTTAAGTAAATAATTTGGCTTTGAAACTTCATAATTAGTAACTTTCTTCATAAAAGAATTACACAAAGATCATGTAAATTTTGGTTATAATAATACAAGAATCATTTTTTAGAACTATTTCTCACAATGTAATGTGTAATTATTTAATTGGTTCACATTGTGGCAGGAGATGATTTCATTATAAAATACTCAGAGAAAATGCCTGTGCCACTTCTCAAAAAAATGTTTAAAATTTGTTCATATCAGTGCATTTATGATGGAAAGTTTTATGATGTATTAAATTCCTGTATTATTTGGGATATAGTGTAATTAAACCAATGATTATGACCATAAATTAGAAACTTAAGTTTTTCAGTCGTAAAAGATACATTTTAAAACTACACTGTCATATTTTAACAAATTTCAGCAAGTCTACTTTTATTTTCAAAATTCTGTCACTATTTTCATGATTTTTTTTTGCCCCTCTTTCCCCTTTTTTAGGCTGTATATATTGCACCCCTAAAGGCTCTTGTACGTGAACGAATGGACGACTGGAAGATTAGAATAGAAGAAAAACTTGGTAAAAAGTAAGTTGTTTTGTTCAAAAGAGATGCCTTACATAGTATAAAAGGATGAAAAACATAAACACTTTGGATAAAATTAATTGAAGTGCTACTACTATTAAATTTGTATTAATATTTTCATAATCTCACGACTAGAGTTACAGGGTTACCAGTTCTAAATACATTGACAGGATTGTTTTAAGATTGAGTAATCAAATCACTTTAATCATATCATGAGTAATTTTCTTTTCTTAGAATTTTAGTATTAAAAATATCCTTAACCTACAACAAATGAAACAAAATTATGTTGCTTTGTTTTTCTTTCATATCAATCAGAATATCTTCCAAAACAGCTTAACACATATTTTACAAGTAAATTATTTTTGAAAAACTTAATGGAAGTTATTTGCAGAACACGATGCTTTTTAAAGATTATTTTAGTATTATTTATTGAAATTTTGTTTCAAGGGCAAAAGATTTCAAGCAACCTAAATGTTCAAGAGGATATCAGTAACTAATTATAAAATATTCAGTAAATATAAAATATTGTATTACTGTATAAAAATGAGATCTTTATGAAGTACTAAATGAATGATTTCTAGAAATGATGTAAAGAAGTAAGGGAAATATGCTGCGTTGTTTCGTGGGTGAGAGCAGCGCGTCTGGAGGATAGAGCTGTTTTAGAGACTCTTTCTACATGCTCTGCACCAGATATATGTCCAAATAGTAAATACCATCGAAGAAAAAATAAATAGGAAAATGGTTTTCTAAACAGTATCATTGGAAGTACTACTCTGGCTTTTTTTTTTTTTTTTTTTGCTATTTTACAAGTGTTAACATAAAATATAGAAATTATATTCTGACTATGTAAAGTTTGGAATAAGCCTCTGAATTTCCCTATCATGCGTTAGGTTTTAAAGTATATATGTCTTATTTTTTCCGTCTTCCGTAAAGCAGAGGTCTGCTTAGACGAGGTGGCATGTACATTCCCTAGCTTATCTTTTTTTTCTCTTTCTCTCTCTCTCCTCTCCCACCTCAAGCTTGTCTTTCATATGTTTGGATTAGCATACAAGTATCTATAGGAAATTTTAGTCTAAGTAATGAGCTTATACATAATCGTATCCATAATTAATGGTTCTCACTGTCTTAATAAGCTAACACTTTCCTTAATTAGAAGGATGTTTATTCTGCCATATGAAAAAGGGATGTATAAGTTCAACTCTTTAAACCTCATGCAGGTCAGAAATCCTATAACCATAAAGTAAAAAATTGACCTTTGCATCTTTGTGTCAGTGTTGGATTTTATATATCCTTTATGTAAGAAATACCTTAGGACTTCAAATCACATATTTTGGACTCAATAAACTGAAAATTTTAGAAAATGAAAAGAAGATACTTGTAAGCAATATCAAATATCATTTCAAAAAAGATGTATTTTTGCCTTTCAAGGTCATGTGTTACCTGAAAAGTTAAAAGGATGACTTTTATTCCTCTCCAGAGTTATTGAACTAACAGGGGATGTGACTCCTGATATGAAGTCCATTGCCAAAGCTGACCTTATTGTCACTACACCAGAGAAGTGGGATGGAGTCAGCAGAAGCTGGCAAAATAGGAGCTATGTTCAGCAAGTCACTATTCTCATCATCGATGAGATCCATTTGCTCGGTGGGTACCACTATCCAAAGACAATTTACAAACTCCATCTCTCATACCTGCGGCAGCCAGTATCAAGGGTTGTTAAATGATTAATGTACATTATTCCTCTTTCCTAGGGGAAGATAGAGGTCCTGTTCTAGAGGTCATTGTATCTCGAACAAATTTCATCTCATCACACACAGAAAAGCCTGTTAGAATAGTTGGTCTGTCGACTGCATTGGCTAATGCCAGAGACCTTGCTGACTGGCTCAATATTAAGCAGGTATGTGGAAGAGTAATGAATCGGGAATTTAACAGTGTGCCTTAGTTGGCCACACTACAGGTACTATTGGGTAAGCATTGGACTGCTAACCAAAAAGTCAGTGATTCAAGCCCACCAGCCTCTCCACAGCAGGAATAGGAGGCTATAAACTCCCATACTGATTCATAGTAACAGAAACCCCATCTATAAGGTCAATATGAGTTGGAATTGGCTCTGGAGCAGTGGATTTGTTTTTTTGTTTGGGGTTTTGTTGTTGTTATAGCTCTATAAACTTAAATATATAAACTGAAAATTATTTCTCCCATATTTTTAGATGGGCTTGTTCAATTTCCGACCATCTGTACGCCCAGTTCCACTGGAAGTTCACATTCAAGGCTTCCCAGGTCAACACTATTGTCCTCGCATGGCCAGTATGAATAAACCTACGTTTCAAGGTAAACGTCAGGCTCTTGTCTGGCCATACTAACTATATAGTAGCAATTAAGTGAATTTCCAATGATGTGACCTTCTCTTAAGGATGTTACTGCTTCAACTTCCACACATATCTAAAGCTGTTTACCTTAACTGTTAAGGATTACTAATGTATGTGAAATTAACTATTAGAAATTAGGGATTTCATAGATGATAACCACAGCAATAGAATAAAAGTGTGATTTTGTAGTCAAATCACTGTTAATATTAATTATTAAGGTGTCTTGTGGTAACTAGCTTGAAAAATGACAAAAGAATAATTGAACTTAATCAAGTATCACAGTAAAAATAATCTCAATTTTTAACCAAAGCTGTAAAATTATTAGTGCTTTCTTAAAACAATTTTTTTCTGTTTTTCCTAACAAATTGGGCAAGCAGGACAGATTCAGAAGTAACACTCCTACTTTATTAGACATGTTTTCCGCAGGCTGCATAAGGAATATTTATTATATCAGTTAAAAACAACCTTCAAAATAAATTCTCTAATGTGAACTGCTGGGGATTGTGAAGGGACAGTTGTGAGGTGACTTTTTAACTGCCGTAATTAGCCTTGTGACAGAAGCAAAGTATTGATTGTGAACTAGAGACCAATCTTGGCAGTGGAGATTATTTACACCTCTATAGAAGCATTGCACAAAATCACTAATGAACAATAAATCTACTGTGAGCTGTTTAGCCACACCTGTTCTTACAGCAGTAAAAATCCATTAACTGTTGATGTTTTAAAAAAAGACAAATTCATTCATGGTTGTGTATATAAATGATACCAATATTGTACTAATATATGAATTTTTCACATTATGTCTTTAATAAGATTTACCTAAACAGTACCATTTTACAACTGTAGTCTTCAAATACTTTAAATCTGAAAGTAAGAATTAAAGATGAATTTATTTTTTGTAATATGTATTGTTGAGATTATGTATATCTATGTATGTTTTTTTAATGTTTGAATACAATATTGGAAGCAAGCAACACATTTTATCATCAGCCATTTGTCAGTTTGTCATCCGGTGGTGATTTGAGAGTTGCTCTGATGCCAGAAACGATGCCATCAGTATTTCAAAAGCCACGGGGTCACCCATTGTGGACAGGTGTCATCTGGACTTCGAGACTGAAACAGACCATGAAAGAGAACCTGGGCAATTTACTCCTGGGGGGGAAAAAAGCTGGCCAGTGAAATACTTATGAAGAACATCATCTGATGTAGTATAAGAAGATGAGCCCATCAAATCAGAACGTACTCAAAACACACCTGGGGAAGAGGTGCTTTCTCAAAGTACAGTTGACTTTATTGACATGGGTGGAGTAAAGTTTTCATGACCTTCATTTGCTGATACACATTACTCCAAAAGAAACAACCGCAAACATCCTTTAATAATTGAAATAAAGAAAGTAGAAAACTAAGACGATTCAAAGTCATCAAAAATGAAATGGAATGCATACAGATCTGTATCCTAGACATTAGTGAACTTAAAATGAAACGAAGTAGTCTTTTGAATCAGAATGTTATATGGTTTACTGTATGGGAAGTGATAAATATATCAATGAGTGACATCACATTCATTGTCAAAAAGAGCATTTCAAGATTTTCTTGAAATATTGAAATATTTCCCAGTGACAGGATAATATACACACACCTACAAGGTACATGAGATAATACAACTATTGCACAAATTTATGCTCCAATCACTGAAACCAATGGCGAAGAAAATTACCAATTTCTGCAGTCTGAAACTGATGAAACATACTTAAGGTGCATTTATAATTACTGGTGATTGGAATTCAAAAATTGGAAACAGTCAAGATCAGTAATTGGAAAATAAAGCCGTGGTGATTATGTTAGGGCTCTCTAGAGAAGCAAAGCCAGTGTTTGGCAGGGTTCTCTGAGAACCCAGAACACTTATGATTTTATAAATATATATATGTTATGTGTATATTTATATTATATATAATATTTATATAATTGCGTAATATATATTTATATATATTATACAAAAGAATAGTTTTATACAGCAAGAAGGAATATAACGTCTAATTAGTCACACAGCAGTACAAAGGGCTCAGTTCAACTCACTTTTTTTTTCTAATCATTTTATTAGGGGCTCATACAACTCTTATCACAATCCATAGGTACATCAATTGTGTAAAGCGCATTTGTACATCCATTGCCCTCATCATTCTCAAAACATTTCCTCTCCACTTAAGCCCCAGGCATTAGGTCCTCATTTTTCCCTTCCCTCCCCGCTCCCCCCTCCCTCATGAGCCCTTGATAATTTATAAATTATTATTTTGTCATATCTTGCCCTGTCCAACGTTTCCCTTCACCCACTTTTCTGTTGTCTGTCCCCCAGGGAGGAGGTCACATATAGTTCCTTGTAATCGGTTCCCTCTTTCCAACCCACTCTCCCAGTATTGCCACTCACACCACTGGTCCTGAAGGGATCATCCGCCCTGGTTTCCCTGTGTTTCCAGTTCCTCATCAAACAGCTAATATACTGAAAGTCCTTCAACTCTTTCTTGGCAGCCAGTCCAAGATCAAAGAAGTAGACAGTGGAGTCTTCCCTCAGGCAAGACAGGCAGAGTGCCAAAGGCAGCAGACAACAGGGTGGAGCAACAACAGTTAGTAGCACTAGAGCTTAGCAAAGCAGGGCCTGATGGGATATCAAACCAAGCAATGCACAGTGACAGGATCCACCAGGCTCAAGCTCAAGTGAGGTACCTATACTTGAGCACTATGGTGGAACAGATCTCGAAGGAGACTTAAGCTCTAAGGACAAGATGCATGGGTAGCTCAGCCCACAAGTGGTGTGACACAGGTTTGAAGCAAAGAACTAGGTCAAGCAGCCTCACACTGGTCTGATCACCAGGAAGGAAGGAAGAAGGGGGCAGGCCTTGCAAAGCCATTGATCTTCTCTCTCTCCAGTCAAACTTCAACCTGATTAAACTCCACCTACATGTTCTTCTGGGGGCTTAGTTGGCACAATAAACGTAACTTATCACAGCCAGAAAAATACATAGAGAGAAAAGAGAGATCCAGAGAGAATTGATATCAAGAAAATGGCCCACACAGTTGTAGAACCAGGTAAATCTAGTCTGATCTGTAGTCTTTGGGTAAGATATTATGCTGGAAGTTTCTCCTGACTGAAATAGCTTTGGAGACGAATGGATACCTCAACATCAGCAGAAACACTACAGACTGCAAAGGCAAATCATTCCAAGGTCAGCTTTGGGACTGGAGAGTAAACGAATCCAGTGCCAGCAGATTACCTTGCAGGCCACTCATGGCTCCCAGAATTAGCAGGCAGTGTGGTTGGTCACTAGTTCAAGTCCAAAGAACCAGAGCCAGAACCAGCCAAAAAAAAAAAAGATGCTGTCCACAGTATTTATTTAGGTAGGATATAGGACACATTCCAAAGAAACCTCCTTTAATTTCATCAGGACTATGAACTGAATAAGGGATTGTACTCCATTCTAATCTTTTAACTGCTTGGCTGCTCAGAGCAGATCCCCTCAAGGACTTGATCATATTGTGTACTAGGCCTCAACTGCTAAACCATGGAGAAAGCTTACCCAGTCAAGTTGACACAAAACCCAAATATTACAGTGATAGAACCAGTAATAGACTTCTACAAGACCACTGACCCAGTGACTGTGAGTACATTATCCAACAACTTAATTACACAGGGATCATATTGACTTCCTCTATGGGAAGAGATGATAGAGAAGCTCAACGTAATCGGCCAAAACAAAGCCACCGGCAAACAGCTCATATGCGGGTTCAAGTTGAAGCTGAAAAAAATTAAGACAACTCCACAAGAGCCAAATACAACCGTGACTCTGTCCCGCCAGCAGTTAGAGACCACCTCAAGAAGGGTGTTCATGCATTGAACACTGGTGAGCAAAGTGCAGACAAGCTGTGGAATGACATCAAGGATATCACACGTTACAAAACAGAAGGTCTTATGTAATAGACAGTCACAGTCTCGCTCGCTCACTCATTCACTCGCGCGCTCTCTTTCTGTCACCATCTTGGTTCCACCATCCCTGTACAGAATGCCCAGTGAAGCTACAGAAACTGACTCTGCTACAGAACAGGAGTTACCGTAGCCCCAGGCTGAGACAGGATCTGGAACAGATTCTTTTTTTTTTTT